GTTCAAACCTTGAATATGGTACTGCCTGCTACTCAAAATGATAACTTGAGGCTCTAGTGTCAGGTGTGCTGGGCCAAGTTGCTAGTTCCATCTCCTCTTGTGAACACGGTAATCCAGGGAACGTTCAATTAATTGCAGTCAAAGTAATCAGGACCTCAATTAATCAGGCCACCTTATGGAGAAAGAGGAAAGAGATATCAGAGGTTTAGTGAGGGAGATGGGAAGAAACTTCCAGGGACTGTTCTGGGATTGGTGTGCATTCAGTTCAGTGTCCTGTCCTTTTTACTTCTACATATTTAGCTCTGAACAATGAGGACTGATACTCATACTGATTACCTTTATGTTTTATAAGATTCATCAAAGCAAGAGTGAATGGTATTTGCTAGACAGGATTTCCTAAAGCAGGAACTATATACACAAATACTACATTTTTGAAGCCTTCTTAGCTGTAAGCATTGAGACAAAAAGTTTGCTGGGCGCGCGAGCACACGCACGCGCGCGCACGCACACACACGATTCCTGTTCCCTAGTCCCTAAACTTTCCAGTAAACTTAGGTATATCGGACACTGGATAAAAAATACAGAAGAAATAAGGATTCTAGGCATCACCAGTGACCTTAACCAAATCCAGATCAGTGGTTATTTCTCTTTAATTCTTCCTGACTTTAACTTTGGCCTCCAGTGAGAGAAAACTGTTGGGTCATCTCTTACTTGCCTCATCATTTCCTCCTCGGAAAAATCCTCTTCACCTTCCCATTCCTTACTTATGGGCATTTCCTATATTCATTCTTTAGCTCTTTTCTCCCTGTATTGTCTCTTGGAGAACACATCCAGTTTCATACCTCTCACTCCTAAATTTATATCCCAGTCCTGAGTCCTTCTGGAGCCCACAATCCCATGTTACTAAGTACTTATTGAACTTCTGGATATCTCACATAAAATCAAAATGATCTTATTTTCCTGAATATATAAAAATGCTTTTACAAATTCAGAAGAGAAAGACAAATACCTATTTAAAAAATGGGCAAAGACATGTACAGGCAACTCACATAAAGGTATACATATACACAATATACATATATAGTTGAACAATAAAAAATAATAAAATGCAAAGTAAATGACATGATGCCATTTTTCAGTGAGTCAATTCACAATAGGCTAAAAAGCCTCAGAAACTCAGTGTCAGTCTGTGTATGAGTAAACAGACACCCTTGTATATTGATGGTGGGAGTAGACGTTTGTATTATTCTTTGTTGACTGAATCTCAGTGTGTACCAAAGTCTTTCAAATGTGTTTGCCTTTGGGTCCAGTGGCCTTCAGTTCTAGGAATTTAATTTAAGGAAATAATCAGAGATATGCTAATCTGTAAGAACAAGAATTATCGTTTATGTTGTTGTAAACAGGGAAGCATGCTAAATGTCTAGCAGTTGAAGACTGGCTAAGAAAATTTAGTAAATTCCTACAATGGAACGCTGGGTGCCCAATAAAAGCAATGTTTTAGGAGTGTACTTAGTGTTTTGTATTAATATTATGTATTGATATTAAATGTACTTAATATGAATAATACTATGCTGTACATCTGAAACTAATATAAAATAATGTTGAATGTCAACTGTAATTGAAAAATAAAATTAAAAAGAAGCATACTTAATTATTCAAGAAAGCATGTACACTTTTTGAAAAGGAATGTACAGAATGATCCTTTCTTTGTCAGAGAAAAAGATATATAGACTGGAGGGAAATATATGTAAATATTAACAATGTTTATTTCTGGAGAGTGATATTATGGGTGATTGTGATTTTCTCCTTTATAATTTTCCATGTTCTAAAACATCTACAGTGAACACTGATTACCTTTGTAAAATTAAAAAAAAAAAAACTAGGAAGTGTAGTTTCTTTTAGTAGTAGCTTATTTAAAGCCAGACTCCTAGACATCCCCACTGAATGAGCCCCCTTTCCTGGCTTCCCTCTTCCTGGCTATGGTGCCAGCAATCCAAGCTCCCAGGCTTAGAGCACTGCAGCCTTAGAGATTTGGTTTTTCCCTCACTCCCTCTGCCCAGTCGCTTATTGAGTTTCTTCCCTTAAGTAGGACGTCTTTCAAACTTGTCTCTCCCTGTTGAGTCTCAAGTCAAATCAGTTCATTTCACAGCATATATTATCATAGTGCCCAGATGCCACTCTGCCACTTCAGTGTTATTGGAGTCATCTGCTAATATGTCTTCCTGGCCTTCTTTTCTCTCCTGCAATCACTTAAGCATGCTGCCTCTGGAATGATCTTTATAAAACACTACTTGTATGGCCCTCCCTGCTCAAAGCACTCAGAATGCCCCCATACATTTTTCTTTTTGCCAGTTAGAGCTCTTTTCAGCACTGTGCTAGGTGGGAGGTAAGAGGTGGGCACATGGGAGGTGCTTGGTAAGTCTTTGACAATGAAGTCAATCTTTAAGGATAAGGTGTGGTGTACTTCCCATTGCCTTCCGCTGTTTTCAGTTTGAAAATTTCCTTTTGGCACTTGGACCAGAGACCTTGGAGCACTTGAAGTTTCACGGTGCTGCATTTGGAGACAGGAAGAGGCATCCAGGGGCGAAAAAATATGGTTCAGGAAACCTCAGCTCTGAGTCTCTCCCAATTTCTGATGCCTGCTACGTAGGAGGCTCCATTGAGAAAGGAGATTGGCTCATAAGTCTCATCTCCCTGCAGTGTTGAGGATCAAGAATGAACAGTGGGAAACTTCCATATTTTTATTTGCTTTAATAAAATGAATAAGGAGAAAGGGGTGAGGGCATGTGAAAAGGGGTGAATGTAGAACAAACCCTGCGTGATGTGGGCCACTCATGAAACCCAGCTGTCTTTAGGTGCCCCACTGGGACCCAGAAAACTCCAACGCGGACTGAAGGATGGCAGATGGTTGTGTTTTAAGAATACTCTGCTGGGCGGGTGTGTGGGGTGAGATGTGTGAGGGTAATAAACTTGCCAGGTGGCAGTCACTGGCACCTAGCCCTGTCTCTCATTCTTGGAGTAGCTGATGAAACCAATGGGAGTGGGATCCCAAGCTGGGTGACGTGGCTATCTGGGAAGCCAGTTCTGACAATGTCAGCTGCTGGGGGGTTCCCCTCAGGGTAGCCCATCCCTCTCAGTGTGAAAGTGTGCCTTTATGGACCTAGTCTAAAAGCAGGCTAACAGCCCGGGATGTTGGCACACGCCTCTTGGCACTAACCATGTCCTTCTTGGATTGCTGTTGGCACCTTTCTGGTTGTGGAAATCTTGGCATAGCCCCATCCAAGAGAAACTGACTGTTTACCTAGCCCACCGCTCTTGTCTAGCTTGGCTGTCTCCAGCTCTCCTTCTCCTCCCTTTTCCTTTCTCTCTCTCTCTCTCTCTCTCTCTCTCTCTCTCTCTCTCTCTGCTGCTGGCAGTTAACACATTTTTTGAGTACATGCAGGCCCCTTTTGTCCTTCCCCCTTTCTCCTTGGAAGCCTGCCCCAGTTTGAGGTTCCCCCTGTTTTGTAAAACCATTAACAGGAAGAAGCTTTGGGGCTTGCAGGAGACGCAAAGGCCCCTTGCGTTCCAGGGCTGCAAATGGCTTGACTGACCCCCATGGAGACAAGGGGACCAGAGGAAGCAAGGAGGCAGCTCTCTCCTACTGGAGTCAGCTGCAAGTACGCCATGGCATCGCGTGTTATTGGGGGAGTCTGAGTGGAAGGATAACCTCCCAGTGTACTAAGAACAGCAGCCACTGTTGATGGAATGCTCACCACATGCTCAGTGCTTGAGGAGTTATTATCCTATCTAACCCTCACACCAGTCCTATTAGGTGTAGTAACTATTAGTTCCTCATTTTACCTGGATGGGGGGACACTTTGAGAAGTTTAGTATCTTGTCCAAGGTCAGAAGGTAGAGGAGGTGGCACTCTGATTCAGATCTGCTTGATTTCCAAGCCTAGTCTCTTTTTTGTTCACGTAAAACTTTTTAAAATTACAGTTTACACTCAGCATTATTCTGTATTAGTTTCAGATGTACAGCAAAGTGGTTGGAAAATCATATACTTTATAGAGTGGCCCCCCCACTGTTTTAAGTGCCCCCCTGGCCCGACACATAGTTACCATGATGTTATTGACTCTATGCCCTGTGCTGTGACCTACATCTCTGTGACTGTTCTGTAGCTACCGACCTGTATCATTTAATCCCTTCATATTTTTGACCCCGCCACAACACCCCTCTTCTCTGACAACTGTCAGTCTGTTCTCTGTATCTATGAGTTTGTTTATATTTTGTTTGTCTGTGTATTTTGTTCATTAGATTTCACATATAAGTGAAATCATACGGTGTTTGTCTTTCTCTGACTGGCTTATTTCTCTTAGCACAATACCCTCTAGGTCCATCCATGCTGTCTCAAAAGGTATGATTTCCTTCTTTTGTTATGGCTGAATAGGGTGCCATTGTGTAAATGCACCACAGCTTTTTTATCCACGTATGTACTGATGGGCACTTGGGCTGCTTCCATGTCTTGTCAAAGATTAACATCTACACGATGCCACTTTTGTAGAGCCCCAAAATGCCCCAGATAGAAGCGTAATTGAAATCCCTTTGTAATATTTACTGAACACTTATGCATGTACCAGGCATTATTTTAAGTGTGTTATTTATATGAGCACATTTAAGTCTCCCAATTATGAGTAAGATAAGTAATATTATCTCATATTGATAGATGGAGAAAGAAACGGAGTTTCTGAGAGGTTACCCAGCTTGTAAGTGATTTGAGTTGAGAGTTAACCCAAGTCTGTGAACCTCCAGCACCAGCAGTCTCACCCCCTGACCCTTCCCTTCCGCCCCTTACAAGCCCCTCTGTAGTTTGCTTTGTCTGGAAGTAGGGTGACATTCATTATGCAGCCTGGGCGGGCGTTACTTCCTAGCAGGGAGATTATTTGGATGGAGAAGTGAGGTCCAGATTGCTTGTAAGCACATTTTCATTTTCTCTCCCCCTCCTTCTTCCAAATTAGGGTGAAGGTTGCCGAACTGTCCCCCTGGCTGGACATGTGGGGTTTGACAGCTTGCCTGACCAGCTGGTGAATAAGTCAGTCAGCCAGGGCTTCTGCTTTAACATCCTGTGTGTGGGTGAGTATTTCCATAGCAGAAAATCCTATTACAGGATATGGATCCTTTAATGGCTGGATGTGGCTTTGCAGGTAATTAGGTTAAACAGTACGTCATTCTGATCTACTTGCAAGAGTGTCTCTCCCCCTTTTCTTCTTTTATCCCTCTGCTTGTGTTTTAAACAGCTGGCTGTAATGATATTTTCCCTGCTCAGACAAGAATATGGGGTCATTCCTTGGGGGAAAGTGAGCTGTGTGATACCCAGTGGAAATTTTGCAAGGGAGCTGGCTGGCACAGCTATTGCTGTCAGGTTCGTTTTGACTGCAGAAAACAGGAGCCAAGGCAGAACTGGGAGGAAGGTAATGGCTGCAGGAAGATGCGTGCCGACCAGCTGTGGGCAGTGGATTGGGTCAGTCCGTTTCCTCTGCAGCCCTGCTATGCTTAGTGTATGTTGGAGCTCAAGTGCAGGGACCACACAGCTGTATGCAAAGTTCTCTTATTCCCTTTATGTATATCTCTGCCTGGACGTTTAGTCTCAAATGTGGGAACCACATCTTAGTCACCTCTGATATGCTAGTGATAGCACAAAGAAAGGTCAATAATGTTTGTGAAAGGAATGAATGAGTTACTATATTTTGCTGTGTATACTACGCACCCACGTTTTTGTTTGCCTTATACACAGAATTATTATACCTACAGTGTGTAATCAATATACCCATGTATGATGCACATCCTTATTTTACCCTCAAAAAACCTGGGCAATAAGTGCGCATTGTACATGGCAAAATATGGTAACCACACGGGAACGACTTACGCTTCTCAAACACTTCCACATTAGCAATTTGGGTCCTTACTAGGGCTTTATGAAGTGAGCAGAGTGAATAGCATTCGTATCCTCATTGAGCAGATGGAGATCCAGAAACTTGGGGAGGATAGGGACTTAACTGAGGCAACAACACAGAATAAGTGGCAGAGCCATGAGAAGGACCCAGGTCTGGCTGACCCTTTGTCCTTCCCTCTGCTTCTCTAACTGCCGCTAGCAACATGTGTTGAGAATACAAAAGCATTTTGGAAGCTCAAGCACCAACCAAATATGGGGAACAAAAGTTCCTTCACATCCTTTTTCTTAAAGGTTTTATTTATTTATTTTTAGAGAGAGGGAAAGAGAGGGAGGGAGGGAGAGAGGGAGAGAAGAAACATCAGTGTGTGGTTGCCTCTCACTCTTCTCCTCCTGGGGACCTGGCCTGCAACCCAGGCATGTACTCTACACTGAGATTTGAACCGGCAACCCTTTGGTTCGCAGGCCAGTGCTCAATCCACTGAGCCACACCAGTCAGGGCTCCCTCACATTTTTAAAGAATCTTTCTTTAGATTTTAAAAATCCCAAATTTGCAAGCATGATCATAACATATAATTTTCACTATGCAGTGCTGTAAAGCATACCAGTATATTTTCATTGATTTAATTCCAGACCTTAATAATTGTATAATTCCATAATAAAGCCAGTTTTCATGCTGGTTGGACCACTTGTGCTAATTGCCTTTTCATATTTTTGTATAGAGCATATGGGGAACTCATTCATGTTGCTGATCCGAGCCACTCCTCAATGGGATATTTTACCCTTTAATGTAGTCTAAAGTTCTGTTTTCTAACTAAGGTCATTCATTTTCTTGGACTCTATTTTCTCTTTTCCTTCATCCCCAGCACTCTTCTATATCATTTTCTGTAGGAGAATAACTGCACACTCAAGGGCAGGTGGAATACAACAAAGTCACTTCCAAATATGGATGGCAGGCAGTCAGCTAGCAGGCTCGCTCGCTAGTTAAGTGACTCACTTCCACGTACTAGCTTTGGAACCTATGAAATGAAAATACTAGGTTGGCCAAAAAGTCCGTTTAGTTTTTTCCATACAATGAAAGACACATTTTTCATTTTCACCAATAACTTTATTGATTTGAATATTTTGAGTATGTTGGCCATTCCCCATGTGGTGTAATTTTGATTGCTTTCAAGTAATGTCTCGGTTTGATAGCTCTCAACTTCAACTGGTCTTCCCAACTGTGGAGCATCGTCTAGTGAGTAATCGCCAACACAAAACTTTGTGAAGCACTTTTGACATGTTTGATCAGTCACAGCACCTTCTCCATACACTGTACAAGTCTGTTTTTGCATTTCAGTTACATTTTTACCTTTCTTGAAATAAAAAGCATAATATGCCAAAAATGTGGCTTATTTTCATCCATCTTCAATATTAAAATAGCTACACAGAAATTCTACAATTTTGATGTTTTTTAAAATGCATGCTGATATGACAGCTGTCACAATACAATCTAACAAAATTGTTTCGAGTGAAGTTAAAGACAACTAAACACTACTAGAGCCATCTTTGGAAAAAACCCAAACAAACTTTTTGGCCAACCCAATATGTGCTTCACAGAATTTCGTATCATGGGCTTTAGAGTGCAGATCTAGGTTGTTCATTTATCAAATGCCAGAAATCCTCTGATGGTTATGATTAGTTGCTATTAGGAGAAGGGTACAAAATAAATAGAAGTCATGGTGATTGACATGAAGATCAAATGCTATTACATATAATATTAGCACTGCCAAATCTCTCCAATCTTTGGCTGATGTCCAACTTATTTTACATAATATTTGATTACTGAAAATTTCCACACAAACATACTAGATTCTGTTGGCATTCCTCCCAGAGCTCTCTATGACCTGTACTGGAGTTAAGGAGATGGGAAGTGAAATGACACACACTAAGCAACCTTTCAACCAATTAGGTGGGCCAGTAAAGCTTTAGAAGGGAGGCCATTTGAATGAAAACAGCTCTCTGAGGGTGGACATGCAGGGTAATTGGACATGTGGGTCACAGGCTCCCCTCTGGACCAAAGGAGGAGGCAGCCAGGCTCATGGCAAAGCAAGTGGGAGAAATAGTAAACCCCTGTCCTTGAGTTCCCACCCAGGCATTGTACAGCTACGACTGCTTCAGTGTATACATGCTGGGATGGCCTTGTTCAACTGCCTGGGACAGATCCTCTAGGAGGGGAGGGGTAGGAAGGAGACTCTCATCCCCAAACAGCCACCCTGTATCTTTCCTGTCATGCCATGTTTCAAAAAATGGCTGCCCTGGTAGCTCCTCCCTTAGCCCTGCAGGTACAACCTGCTCCATGCACTGGTGTGGACTGGGTTAATTTCATCCTTCACACCTGATCCAAAAAAGCCTCCAACTCCTGCATTCTGCTCTTTGACTGTGCTTGTGACCCTGTCATTGCTCAGAGAACCCACAATTTGGGCCAAGGTCACAAGCAGCTTAGAGTGGCTCTAAGGCTACAATCTTGGCACAGCCATGGGGCTCGGTCCTGCTGCTGACTTGGCGAAGCGTTTGTAGCTTGGCTGCTGAAGGTGATCTTTTCTCTCCCAGGATTTTCAGTGACCGTGCTTTCATGCCTGCCTGCCGCCTGTGCATAACTGTCAGGTTTACTCCCTTAATGACTGTTTGGGCATAGAATATGTTCCCCGAAAGAATTGTCTTTTCTTTTCTAATAGGGCATTTTAAGTGTAAAATTATGGTAGCACTAGCTTCCATTATGAACAGAGACCTAGGCTATGTTTGGCACAGTATTATTTATGTTGGTGCTGGGCTGTTGAGCATTAGGCTCAAGCCCAGCACCCTGGGTACCTGGTGTGTATATGTACATGTGTATATGTGTGCACGTGTGCATGTTGGGATTGAGAGAGAGGATTTTTATGAATCCAGAGCCTCATTTATATGTCAGGGTAACAATAAATGGCACCCACAATGATTGCTTTTAGAGGGCTAGGCACATGGGTGTGAGCATATTATGACTGCTCTTCAATAGTGTAGATTCTCTAGGGTGGACAATAATTACTGGGTAGGGTAAGGTTCCCCTCCCCCATAAAAGCATCTACTAATTCCTTAGCTTTGGAAATTGCTAGGATCCCATAATCCTAGATACAGAACAGGAGGCCTCAGAGGAGCCGCCAGAGCCAGCAGTACAAATGTTCTGCTGGGAAAGAGCCCCAAAGAGACAGCCCTCCAAATGTGCCAGCAACAGCAATGCCTGCGAGGAACACACAGGGTCATAATGATAATATTTACTTGGAAGCTGCTCAGGATTCCGGGCGCAATTGGACTGTGTTGAACTTGGAAAAAACATACAAGAGGAACAGGATTGAGGTTCACTCAAGGATGAGGGGAAGGGCCGCTAGCATTCAAGGTCAGGGGTCGATTGGGAAAGGCAGCTGCTCACCTAAGACAGTGCTGGTCAGTGTCTCACAGTCTGCGCTCAGGGGAAAAATTGCCCCGGCTTTTGCAGCATTTGCTGATTTCCATAGTGTCATTATTTCCACCATAGTTGGCTTTTTGCTGCCAACCTGATGTCACTGCACGTGGGCTTGGGAAAGCTGCAGGAAGCTGGGCGAGCCGGCTTCAGCACAGCAGTTTGCCAGGGCTCTGCAAGATCAGGAAAGGGAAGAAGGCAAGGTCACCGAGCCAGGCATGACCTTGTCCCTGTCCATAGGCTCCCTTGGCCAACTGGAGTTCCTGGTGAGTTTCCTTTTGGACACCTCCCTTTTGAACTCAGAGACGTTTCTCTTGGTTTATTTTACCATTCGGAGCTGGAAGAGACTTTAGCTCCATGTAACTGTGAGCTCTGTGCAAACGGGGATTGGGGCTGTCTTATTCATTGCTGCATCCCCGACCCCTAAAACTATACCTGGCTCCTATTAGAGGCTTTGTAAATATTTGTTTGATGACCAAATGAACCAACATATCATGCCTGTGGGATCCACTGGAGCATATTTGTTATAAGCAGGGGCTCCAATGTCAAACTGCCTCAATTCACATGCTGACTCTGCCACTTACTATTTTGTAACTCGGGACCAGTTACTTGGTTTACATACATAGGGGAGGAAGGTAAGGTACAGAGAGGTTGAGAGCGGGAGCAAATGCACATAGCTAGGAAGTGACTTGGTTAACCTGTCTGTAACTTAAGGACAAATAGTGATATCTACCTCTTAGGCTTATTTGTGGGGTTAAATAAGAAAATAGGAAGTATTTTACAGCAATGCCTGGCCCATAGTAAGTGCTCCATAAATGACACCTGTTATTATTGTTATTCTAACCTGCTGATTTTATGGCAAAGGAGACTGCGGACCAGAGAGGGGGAAAGGGCTCTGCTCAGGTCACACAGTCATTTAGTGATAACCTGGCTGGGACTCTACATTTCATCACTGGCAAGGACTTCATTGCACAGGGTGTCCAAGAATACAAATAGTAACAGCACATGAGGAAAAGGGCTAAGCTTTTCTTTGTTATAATGATATTTAACTCAGGGTACAGAGGTCAACATCGGACTATCCTGAGGAGTGTAGTTGGAAAAAGCATATTTCATAGTAAGTGTTTTAAATCAAAATTCTTTTTTAAAATAATCTGATGTTTCCAGAATGCTATCTGCATTAAGCACAATGACTTGAAATCCTTCTGGCTGGTGGTGATGACTTAAAAAGGGTTAAGAAACCCTGCTCCACTATGAGGAGAGAGAAATTGACCCCTAGGGACTCCTCAGGTTTCCTGCTGGAATCTAATTACAAAGTCCCCACCTTCCTGCAGGGGTGTGGAATCTGCTGACCTGATCTGAATTAGGCTGCTTGTGCCCACCCTCCCACTCAATACTGGGCCCAGGGCAGCATGGGTGGGGACAGCATCCTATAGGCTCAGGCTGAGCCTGTGCCAGCCATTGAGAGAGAGGGCCCACCTAACCGCCCCCGCCCCCAGGCTCCACATTGATGGAAAACTGGAATGGCAGCACTCAGTAGCCACTGGATGAGCTCACTTGATTTTCTGTCCTCTTATGTTGTGTTTATCACGATTCCCTAGACACCCGCAGGTTCTTTTCTTCCAGACATTTGTCACTTGGGCACTTAGTTTTCACAGCCCTTTTGTGCTTGCAGGCATTTGGATGGTCATTTTCACTGCTGCCCTGCCCTGTCTGCGGGCCTCTAGTTCTTCAGCTGTGCAAACAGGGTGGGCCCTTCACTCTGCAGTCCTGCTCCTGAGGCCTGTGTGAGCTTGCGCCGGGCATTCTGGAGTACAGGAAGCTGTCCCCTCCCCTGCTCTCTGAGAATCCTAAGGATCAGAGAGCCAGGGAGCCAGCTATGGGTGCTGGGGAGGCAGGGCCTGCCACTCTCTTCTTGCTGCAGGGCATTCAGCAAAGAGCTCACAGAGCAGAAGAGGGGGTGGAGATGGGAGTGTACATGGAAAATTCACTTGGTGCCTACAAAGACAGGCTGAAATGTAGCTTGAACCTCAGTGCACAGAGGGAAGGCAGGTCAGGGTTGAGGGAGCCACTCTTGTGTTTCCACCTCAGAGGTACTGGCCCCCTTTGCAGTCAGCTGCACCCCCACCTTGGGCGAGGAGGGGGTGATACATTCCTTTGCCTGGCCAAGTCTGTCACCTCCCATCGCAAAGGCCTCACCTCACCACATTTTTCTTGGGACCTAAATGCTTCCTGTTCCTTTAGGGAGGAACAAAGGGGCCTCTTCTGGGAGAATCTTTGCTGCTAATCGGTATAGCAGACCCTGGCTGGAAACATGATCTGTGTGAGGAACCATATTTCTGCACCTTGACAATCAACCCCATTAGTCAGGCCTGGATATGAAATTGGGCTGGAGGGCCAGGTAGCTGGCCGAATTGAATGTTCTCCTTGTTCTCTCCCTCTCACCAGTCTCTGCACACACAGAAGCTCTCATCATCAACAGATATTTTTAAAAGCACCTCCTGCATTCGTAGCTCATTTTTTGAGAGAAAAGAGGCCTGGAACATCCAAAGCTAGACACACCCAGAGGGTGGAGGGGAGATGGACCATTTGCAGTTACTGGTTGTGAAGCTCTAACGCTAGGCCTGGACTGCCTTGCGGATGCGTGTTGTTAGTCACAGGGGGGATCCGCCAGGTCAGGATTTGCCCAGTGCAAACCCACTCTTGACTGTAAAGACAGTCGAGACTCACATCTGAAGGGTTGGGGGCGGGGAGAAGGGAGGTGCTAATAGCAAAATGGCAGGATAGTCTAGGTATTCAAAGGGCAATTCAAAGAAATTAACTGCTGAATCTTGTATTCTTGAATCCCTTGGGGTGGGATGGGGGCCCAAATACAGTCTGGATCCAAGGAAATTGCCAGCGGCTATGGGGCACAGCCCAACTTGTGGCCTCCCATCTGGTGCCTAGCTCCAGTGCCACCAATTTCCCTCCGGTCTCTTCATCCCCTGAACACTCCTTGGCTTGTGGCAGTGGCCTGGCATCCCTTAGATGGTTCAGAAATAAACTCCCCAGACCTTCGTCAGTCCCCCACAGTCCTTCCTCCACTTGTCTCCTTAGTGCGAAAGTCAAGGCTTTTGAAATTCCAATGGTTTGATTTATTAGTACCCTGCAGCCTGTTAGTTAAACAAACAAATGACTGGTTTGTTTGAAATTTAAGGGGAAGAATAATTTGTGGCCTGCTAAATTCCCTCCCTATTAGCTAAAAATGGTCTCACTGACGGCTCTGCCCCCTGGGAGGGGAAGCTGAGAGCCACATGGGCTCCCCACTGGGACAACATTCAGGCATCTGCAGAGGCCGTCTGGTCCTGGCACCAAGGTGACATAGGGACTGAGGGGATATTTTTTTGATGAGAGGCTGCTGTCCCTTCTTTTAAATTTTAAAATAAGCTTTTAATTTTTATGTTAAAAGCTATATATGTTCCTCATAGAAAATTTGGAAAATACAGAAAAGCATAAAGAAAGAAATGAAAACCACATATAACCCCACCACTCAGACATAACCGTTGGTAAGAATATATTGTTTTCCTTCCAGTCTTTTTCTAGGCATAACTCTACCTCTCCGTCATTGCCTGTAACAGTTTCTTTGTCTAACTATAAAAACAATGCAAAAGGAAAAAGAGTGTGTGGGCATGGGACGATAGTGTGGTGATTGCTGGGGGGAGGGGGTTATAAGGGCACTGAAAGGTAATGGGAAAATATATAATAAAGATTAAATAAAAATATAAAAAAACCAATGCATACTCGATTTTCAAATAACAAAATAAAATAAGGAATAAAAGGAAAATTACCCTAATTCCACTATCCTGAGATGATTACTGCTAACAGATTGGTGCTGTTCCATTAGTTATTTTTCACTTAACTGAGATCAAACAGCCCATCTGGTTCTATATGTTCTCCACTTAGTGTCTTATCACATACACTTTCTCATGTCGGTGAATATGCATCCAAAGCATGATGTGGAATGGCTTCCGGGTCACTGTGAATGGACCATAATTTATCCTTTTGCTTTTCAGGAGAGACAGGTTTGGGCAAATCCACCCTCATGGACACTCTGTTCAACACCAAGTTTGAGGGGGAGCCAGCCACCCACACACAGCCAGGTGTCCAGCTTCGGTCTAATACCTATGACCTCCAAGAGAGCAATGTGGGGCTAAAGCTCACAATCGTAAGCACAGTGGGCTTTGGGGACCAGATCAACAAGGAGGACAGGTAAGGAAGGGGGTGGGGTGGGGAGGCTGGTCGGAGGCCACGGGGAATAGCTCCCCATAATAGTCTTGGAAAGACCACAGATGCCAAGGTCCTGCCTAGACCTCCTCTCAGATTGGTGGGACAGACAGCAGATCTCTTATCACCCAGGGTCCCTGTCTAAAGCAACTGTTCTACAGTACATGTTTTGCCAAAAGAAGGGTATCTTTCCAGTGGGCACTGGTGAGGTCTCCATTGCATTTAGCAGACGTTTATTGAGCTCCTACCTTGTGTCAGCTGCTGCTGTGCTCTGATAATCTGAACAGGAATGACTTTGTCTCTGCCCTTCAGGTGTTCACAGGAAAGACTGGTTTAAAAAAAAAAAGTTCCATTGAGTGTGATGTGCTCTGTAAAGGGCAGGGTACAAAGAGGTTAAAGGACAAATTACAATGAGAACGTAAAGGAGAGGACATTCAATTCCACGTGGGAAGGTCAGGGAAGCCTTCACAGGGGAGGTGTCTGCTGAGCTGGCCCTTGAAGGACAGGGAGGGAAGGACGTTCCAGGCAGGGGTAACTGGTTGTACAAAGGCAAAGAGATGTGGAAGATTATGGCATGTTCTAGGGAACTGAAGGCTGCTCTGTTTGGCCAGACCAGAGGCAGGATTACTGTGAACCTAATGAAACTTAAGCTTTAGTGCTCTCACTTTCACAGGCCTCTTCCAAGGCCCTGTAATTAATTTTTACTCATAACGTTATATTACTTTCCTTGGAGGGCCCTTCAAATTGTGTAAGCTTAAGATACCACAAAACCTGGGTCTGCCCCTGAGCTAGTGCTTGGATTAAACTGGGGGAAAAGTAAGGGAGATGAGCCTGAAAAGGGAGCAAGAGCCAACTCCTAGAGGAATTTATAGAACTGTGCAAATGTGGAGCTACTGAAAGATTTCAAGAAGTAGAATGATGTCATCTGATTGGTTTTTGAAGAAGGTGCTTTGAGATAGACTGGAGAGTAGGAAGATCAGTTAGGAGACTATAGGACTAGGCCACAGGTAAATCAGGTGTTGAGATAAGGATGAGGAGACAGATTTAATAAATATTGAGTAGGTAGAATCAACAAGTCTTGGAGAAGGGTTGTGAAGGCAAAGAAAAATATAGAATGAGGCCCATATTTTCAGCTTTAGAGAGTAGACAAATGGTAGCGGCATTCACTAAGACAGGATAAGAAAATCAACTTTTAAAGGAATCAGCTCTGTTTTGAACATGTTGAGTTTAAGTTGTCTATGCACCATCAAGAAACATGATGACCTTCAGAGGAATGGAGCTGAATATATAGGGTTACAGCTCAGGAAAGGGTCTGGGATGGAAATGGAAATTTGGGTTAACAAGGTGTGAGTGATATGTCCCAACTGTGGACACTTATAAGATAACCTAGGGATCAGAGTTGACTGAGATGAACACTAGGCTAAAGGCAAAAACCTTGGGACGCTAAGTCAGCTGAAGGAGAAAACACATCCTAAAAAGAGAGAGAACAGGAATAAGCAGAGAGGTAGCAGGAGGTCCGAAGTGTTTGAGAATGGTGCGTGAATGATGGGTGAAGAGAGCTCAGAGATTAGGATGTGGCCTGGGCTTGGGCCAGGGATGGGGTAAGGGTCAAGCACTGGGAGTCACATGGTTATCACACATGCTTATCCAGAAAAGGCCATTCATCATTTTGGGCAAAGTATCTGCTCATTCTTTGAGGATTCTCTTGCTTCTTAGATGAACTGTATCCCAAATTATCCTGTTTCTCTCTTAAAGTTACAACAGCCATACTCATTTCCTTACAATGAATAAATATATTTAGCTTCTTAAAAGTTGAACTTCTGTTTTCCATTTGGAATTCTAAACAAAGGACACCTCTGCTTTTCATGGGCTTGCTTTTTAAAAATATTTTATTGTTATTCTCTTACAGTTGTTCCAATATTTCCCCCTTTGCCCTCCTCTGCCCATCCCACCTCCTGCTCCCACAGTCAATCCCCACCCCGTTGTCCATGTCCATGGGTCATTCAGACATGTTCTTTGTTTAGTGCCTTCCCCTTCTTTCCACCATTGTCCCCCTCCCCCTCTGGTCACTGTCAGTCTGCTACATGTTTCTTGCTTCTGGTTCTATTTTGCTCTTTTGTTTGTTTGTTTTATTGAATAGATTCTGCTTACAGGTGAGATCATATGGTGTTTGTCTTTCACCGCCTAGCTTATTTCGCTTAGCATAATGCTCTCCAGTTCCATCCATGCTGGGGTTTTTTTGTGCTAATCTTACTTGGTTGACAATGAATTAGACCCTTAGGGAAGGGGATATTTGGGTCACAATATGAGTGCTTAATCTCAGCTGCACATTGCTTAGAATCTCCTCAGTAAATTTCTCTCAGTTCTCATGCATTCAGCATATATAACATTGGAAAACACCTTGATGAAAGTTTGGGACTGAACTGATACATCCTCTGAGAAACTAATTTACTCCAGTTATATCTGTAACATCCTTATTGTTTTTCCTCATTATAAATATGATACATATTCATACAAAATAAAATATGGTAGTCCCCATTATCTGTTGTATTGCTTTCCACTGTTTCAGTTGTCTGCTGTCAACCGTGATCTGAAAATGTTAAATAGAAAATTCCAGAAATAAACAATTCATACATTTTTAAAGATTTTATTTTATTTTATTTTATTTTATTTTGGAAAGAGGAAGGGACGGAGAAGGAGAGGGAGAGAAACATGTTGGACCTGGCCTGCAACCCAGGCATGTGCCCCGACTGGACTCGAACTGGGTGTGCAATTCACATTTTTAGATTGCACACTCTTCTCAGTACCATGACGGTCTCTTGCATCATTCTACTCTGCTGCCTGGATCACATCATCCTTTTGTCCAGAGTATCCATGCTGTACACATTACCCTCCCATTTGTCCCTTAGTAGCCATCTTGGTGATGAAATTGACTATCACAGTATCGCAGTGCTTGTGTTTGTTCAAGTAATCCTTATTTTACTTAATAATGGCCCTAAAACATAAGAGTATGGATGCAGGCCATTTGTGTATGCCAAAGAGAAGCTGTAAAGTGCTTCTTTTAAGTGAAAATGTGAACACATTATGTACAGTACTGTAAGGTATCTTGAGAGAGAGGGACATCACATTCACATAACTTTCATTACAGTATATTGTTTTAATTGTTCCCTTTTTTTAAAGTTTATTTTTAAAAAGATTTTATTTAGTTTTAGAGAGGGGAAGGAAAGGAGAGAGGGAGAAAAACATCAATGTGTGGTTGCCTCTCACACACCCCCTGCTGGGGACCAGGCCTGCAACCCAGGCATGTGCCCTGCACTGGGAATCGAACCAGTGACCCTTTGGTTCACAATTCAGCGCTCAGTCCACTGAGCTACACTGACCAGGGCTAATTGCTCCATTTTACCATTTTATTATTAACTTGTTAATCTTTTAGTGTGCCTAATTTATAAATTAAACTTTATCACAAGTATGTATGTATAGGGAAAAAAAACATAGTCTGTGTAGGGTTCGGTACTATCTGTGGTTTCAGGCATCTGCTGGGGGTTTTGGAATGTTTTCCCTGTGGATAAGGAGGGACTCCTGTAATAAAAACTCAAATAAGTAGAAAGGAAAAGCCTCCCTGAAACGGGGCCGGGGAGCAGAGATGGAGTAAGCTTTAGGGATTTGTAATAAAAAACAGTGTTTCCTCCATACTGACAGGGCCATTTGGCATAAATATGCCGGTGCAGCTGCATGGAAACAGAGCATTAGAATGCCCGCTTTACTTAGGGTGTGCGGATAAACTGAGAAGAGCAGTGATGAAGGACATGTCCTGGAGAAAGCCACCGTTGAAAAGATGTTGGAACAAAAGGGATCAAAGAGGGAGACAGAAGGATTGGCTGGAAAGGCACATACTTAGGAACTTAGGCTTTGGTCTCAGGCAGATCTGGATCAAATCCCATCTTGTCACTTATTAGCCCAGGAAACTTGGACAAGTGTTTTTGTGCCAGTCTTAGCACCAACGTGGCTGCATTGGCCCTTTTGGTTCTTACGTTTGAAAGACACCCTCAGCATTAGCCACCAGGAGCCTTTGGTGGGGGAAGGTTTACTATTTACAGATCCTGGAAAGCACATGGCACAGTGAGGTCGCAGGTAGAGTAGAGAAAGAGAGAGAGCACCTGGGCCTGGGGTTCTGCTTTGATTAGGTTGAAACTGCAGGGCTAGGGTTTTGTGGGCTCACTCTTTATTGGCAAATTTAAAACAGAAAGGCAAAAATTTAAACTGCGGGAAGAGAAAAAAACTAGTGGTCCAAAAGTTCAATTATGGAAATCAACCAAGATCCCTTAAACAAAGGAGTTTGAGATGGAGGTGGGGGCGTCCTGGTTCTTTTTGTAGGCGGGGATGTGTTTATTCAGATGGCCTAAGGTTGAGGTGGATGCCTCTTTGAAGTGGTTGCTTTGGCAGTCTAAGCTTAAGTCAGGCACTTGCATTACAAGAAGGAAAAAATGGAACACTCGGGGCTTACACTACAGTAATACATTCTCTACGTCTCACTTTTCACATCTGTAAAGTGGCGATGATAATACTACTACTACCTACCCTAGAGGGTTGTGGTGGGGCACAGTTGATATGTATGGCAAATAGGAAGGTTTAAACAGGCCTGACCGGTGTGGCTCAGTTGGTTGGGCGTCCTCCCACAAAATGAAAGGTCTCTGGTTCTGTCAGGGGATGTTTTTCTCTCACATTGATGGTTCTCTCCCTTTCTTTCTCCCTTCCCCTCTCTCTAAAAGTAAATAAATAAAATATTTAAAGAAAAAGAAAAGCTTACATGGACAACAGTGTGGGGATTGACTGTGGGAGCTGGGGGGGGTGGGTGGACTGGGTAGAGGAGGGCAAAGGGGGAAAATGGGGATGACGTAATAAAATAACAATAACATTTTTTTTAAAGAAAAGCTTAAATAGTGCCTGGCACAGAGTAACTAATGAACAGAATGTATTGTTATGAT